CAAAATGCAAGAAGATGCTTTATAATAAAGGCTTATTTAGTGTAAGGTACATATCATTTCCACTGATAGTATTATACAGGAGAAAGTGATGTGATACCTCCTTCTAAGGTTTATATAACATTCTGAATTTTTCAGCTGACAGTTCATGTTCATGTTTTTTTTTTATTAGAAAAACAAGCAGTGTGGTATGACTACAGCATTATAATGAATTAATTTTCTTGTGTACTTCATGCACTTTTGACATACTTAAGACGATTATACCAGTACAAGATGCTGCAGTCTCGCAAAGAGCCCATCTTCCAATATTATTATTATATAGTAGTCTGATGGTTGGAAATATCAGTTGCACCTCTGGAGAACAACTGCTGCCCAGAAAATGAGCTTTTCATGAACTGGCAGGTGAAACACAAGGTGAGCTCTGTTACATCAGGTAGTTGTTTGTTGCCCCTGACAAATACAACATCAAAATAAGGCATTGCATCCTTTTGGAGAGCCGACAGCTCATGTGCAGTGGCTTGAATACTAACTTTGCAACTAAACAAAGATGCAAAAATGGGAATGTGAATTGTTTGCTGTTTGTAGTTATACAGCAGGAGAGAAGCAAGGACAATGTAATGTTTATTTCCAATAGATAGTATCTAATACAAAAGAAACAGGGAGAAACAGCACCATGTTAAATTTAAAATGAAACAGCATACACAAATGAAAATGAAATACTGGCAACTTGTTAAATGTATTGGATTTTAGATAGAGTGTAGTTGTTTTATTTATTTATTTTTTGTCTGTGTTTGCCAAGTATGTGTGGGTTTGCTCCAGGCCCTCCATCTACCCCCTGCTGTCCTAACATGCATGATAGTCCGACTGATGGGTCTAAATTCCCCTAAAGTGTGAATTTTGAAAGAGTAATTACTGATAAAGGATGCTAATTAATTCAATTATTAAAAAAAGAAAACAGCAGAAACTGTTGGTAAAAAAAGAAGAAAATTGTCATGCACACTTGCAAAACAAAACATTACGTATTACATTACATACATCTATAATTTCCTAGCTATCACTAGATTATCTGTATATCCAAAATATCCTAGGTGTCACACAGGAAATGTATCATTTTGGCTTTGTAAATGTGAAATGTCTTTGAAATATGAGAGACAAACTGAATTTCATAATTCCACAGATCATAAGGGTTTTATTGGCCTTAAAGTTAAAATAGAAAGGAGTGCATCTAGTGCAGTTTTATTGTGTTTTTAAATTTTTAGATGATCCTTTCTTTTGTCTTTGCGGCTGGTCTAAATCATGCTAAAAGTGCTCCAAGTAATAAAAATCGAGAGAATTTTACAGTATGCTGGCTCTCTAGAGCAGTCACATGAAGAGACACAGCTGTGACGTCAGCGTAGTCAAAAGTCCTCAGGCGGTTGTATAGAACCACTACTTCATGCATTGTTAAGCAATCTGAAAGGATCATTGAAATTCCATTAAAAGGGTGTTTTGTAATGCTGCCAATTGTAGGAATGGTATTAGATCAAGAAAAATAATGTTTAATTATCCAAAGGACCCGGTTTTGCGTCAAATTTCGATCCGGAAAGTAAATAGGTTAGACAAAAAGCAACCGGACAATCTGTGGCTCCCAAAACAATACAGCAAACTATGTTCGGATCACTTCCTGACAGATTCTTTTATCATCAATCCTACTCTCACAGCATTAGTTGGATTCAGTATACCAAAAATGCTAACAGCTTGTTTTCTCTGTTGTATAGCTTTAATAAAGTACCTGATGGCAAAAAAGCTGATTCAAAGCATTGTTAATTTTTTTTATAAAATATTTTATTTCATAAAACAATGAACCCTAGGTAGTTGCAGCGTTTAGTTTAGCGGCAGCTCCAGACGGATTTTCATATCATTATGGTCTGGGCTCCAGAACAACAAGAACCACGATGGATAACAGTTACCATAGGCGGAGACCCTTAGCTCGAACCCGATTGGCCAGGAGACATGAGCTGAACCGGCCCCTCAGTGGGTCACGTGCTCGAATGAGAAATTTAACATCGTCTGCTATCTTAGTGAATTATTTTATGCTATAAACACCAAAATGCTGGACTTTTTTTCACTTGTGATATATTTAATTTTTTTATACTATCAAAGACAGAGAGAGAGAGAGACACCAGGCCTGCAGTATGACACATATAAGAAACTATAAGTGTTTTCTATTTGAACTTTAAATTTAGATTATCATTATTTTTGAAGTTACTTGTGGTAGAGTAAAAAAGTTTCATTGCAGTGATATATTTTTCATTTTATACAACACAGTTTTAGGGGCATTTGCAGGAAAAGGAAAAGAAAAAGTGGTAACAGAGTCTTAAGTTTCCACCAGAAAACACCAAAATTTATATTAAAGCAATCTGGATTTTCTCTGTTCTTAAAAGGTGGAAATTTTGTTAGAAAATGTATAATTTTCTATTATTAGAGGCATGGATTCATGATTTCAAAACTAAGATATTCTCTGACATCATAAGTTCAAGCATTTTCCACAAAATATATGAAAACAAAAACTCTAAGGGAGGGTCAAAGTGCTGAAAACAAAGATCTAATCTGTTAATTCTTTAGGGGTTTTGAAACTAATTTGGGCCTGAGGAAAGCTCCATCAAGAGGAACTGCAGAACACAGCAAAAATGATCAAGATTGAAATAAGTAAAAAAAATAAGTAAACAATCCTTAAATTAAGTGTATTTACCCTTAATTTGGCTAGTTAAATAAGATGATTTACCAATGGAATTAGTATTTTTATTCTTAAAATAAGATAATTAGATCATATGCTCATGAAATAAGACAATGCAATTGTTTTTTTTCTTTTTTTAAATGTCAATTGTCTTGTTCCATCGGAAACCTTTTTAATGAAATTTTTTGCATTTAAATGTTTCAGGCTCTTTTCTTGTATCAGAATGAAGGGTCTTGGTGCAGCCATGATGCATTGTCTTCCTCATTGTCTTGGACATGTGTTTAATTAATGTTTGTGTTTATCTGTGGCAGCCATTATGCGTTGTCATTACTTCTTACATTTTTCCACATTGCTTCAAGTATTCAATTATTTGGGACGAGCTCAATGTTTTTCCTGCAAAATTTCAGAAAGCTTTTAAAGATTCTTTTACAGCTGAGAATAATTTCTATTCTATTGAGAAAAAGAAGTCCTACTTCAGTGCGTGTGCCTTGTTCACAGTTTTAGTTGACTATTGGAATATTCTACTTGCTTGAGTTTGTTGTATTCGGTTCAACAAGACAATGTATACTAGCCAGTGTAATGAACAGTAGACAAAATCTAGTAAAAACATAATAATCCTATAGATGCAATTTTGAGATTTAAATAGCTGTAAAACACAGTGTTATTTATAGATATTTATTTCTAAATAATTCTGATTTGATCAGTTCTGCAAATGAACCAGATCCAGCTCGTGTTAAGAAAATGTTAATTCCATCTGTACACTGTAAACTCGAGTGTACAGAAAGGGAGCTGCTGCTTGCTCTCATTCTCAGGGAACATCATCAAAAAGGCTTATTTTCCTAGCAAAAAACAGATTCAATCAACAAAAAATGCAACTTATTCTTTTGATGCTGCACATGACAAAATATGCAGTGGGTGCTAAAAATGGCTCATGCTAAGCATGACACATATTTTACCACAAAAAGGTATTAATGTCTGAGCTTGATAAAAAGTTCCTGATTTAAAAATGTCATTTAGATTTTAATGATTAGTCCATCCTTTATTTTTTTTTCAGTATTTTTAGTTATAAAACATACCTTCCTGGTCTTGAAAAAGTGCAGATACCACCTTGTAGATATAAAGCTTAAATAAACACACAATGTCTAATTTAATGTATTACCATGAACATGTTAAATAACCTTTAATAAAAAGGTTGATATTAACATCATGCCCAAATATCTCATAATCAGTTTGTCTTTTATATAGTTAGATAAGCAGCTGTGAAAGTGTTAAAGTAATCAAGAAGGCAGTGTTCTTATATTTCAGGTTCTTTCCTAACATAACCTCTAAAGATCTTGGAGGTGAGCCAATGATAGAGTCTGCTATTTTGATCGGGTTGTTTATCTTGCCGCTGCGCGCTGCTATAACATGTCCTCCCCCAACAAACAAAAGGAAGAGGACAAACACACAAGTAGATGAAGCTGCCAGTATTGGCGGTGACACGAGTGTGTCAGCAAAGTGTGGAATGTCATTACTATAGTGCAGTACTGTTTAAATATGATTAAATGTCATATGGCCACTGATAGACTGGTTCACTCATAAATAAGCAACTCATAAGGAACTAATTATACATTTTGTAAATAGAGGTTTTGCTGGTTTTCTTTGAAAAGCTTATGAAAGGCTTATATATAAAAAAAAAAAAAAATAGAAAGTGCTATTTCCCTGATGCACTGACTGGATTTTGTGAACAATTCTCTTTGGATTAGGCTGGGTAGCAGCTAGATGAAAAAAGACCTGTATGCCCTGAGTGCTTTGTCCACATGCTTTTCGCCTCGCTCTGTCAAAACACGAACTCTGCCTGTCCTGATAAAACTTTGTTGAGGGCGAGGCAATCTGCTGTGGGGCACAGGCCACAAACCTTTTGTAATCTCAGCCTTCTCTGCCAACAATCATGCAAGGCTGAGCGTCCTGAGATAGGCCAGCTGAAAATCACATCCCATGCAACCATCTAGTATTTACTCGGTTTTGACGGTGCAGGATACAAGACAAAGCAGTGCAAATTGGTTTGAACTGAGGTTGGATGTGCTTATCTTTAACACCCAGAAACAATCATGAAAGTCTGCAGGTCTCCCACCTGATAAATTCTAACCACTTGTGCAATTTTCTATATAAATTGAAGCAGGGTGGAAGGAACATTTGAACAGGTGCAGAGATAATTGTGTAATGTATTTAAGAATCTGTTAATATGAAGACTTATCTGTATTGTATTGGGAAACGATAACCTCAATGTTGTAAGTTTCCTCTCCAGGTAATGTGTTCGTGGTGAGTCTGGCGTTTGCTGACCTTGTGGTAGCCTTCTATCCCTATCCCCTGGTCCTCTACGCTCTCTTTCATGACGGCTGGGCCCTTGGAAACACTCAGTGCATGGTAAGGCCTCATCAGTCATTACTTTACTTTGTGAAAAAACCCAATGCCTTTATAGCACACTCTCAATGAAGCTTAAGAAAAATTTCCTACTTTTTTTCTCTTTTCAGGTCAGCGGTTTCCTTATGGGTCTCAGTGTCATTGGCTCCATCTTCAACATTACAGGCATTGCAGTGAACAGATACTGCTATATCTGCCACTCCTTCTCCTACAGCCGACTGTACAGCTACCGCAATACCTTGCTGTTTGTTGCCTTAATTTGGGTGCTCACGGTCGTGGCCATCGTCCCAAATTTCTTTGTTGGTTCTCTGCGCTATGACCCACGGGTCTACTCCTGTACCTTTGCCCAGAATGTCAGCAGTTCCTACACTGTGGCGGTGGTAGTGGTTCACTTTCTGGTTCCCATTGCAGTAGTTACCTTTTGTTACCTTCGCATTTGGGTTCTTGTCATTCAGGTATGTTTCAAAACCATTTTTAAAATTTAAAACGTAACAAAGAATGTTGCTGTATGTTCTGCAGTAATTTAATTTTTTTATACACATACACATGAATGGTCACTTTTTCTTTTAGCTGCCAAAACTATATAATTTGATTAATGAAATCCCACTGGGACTAATGTAGGACTCAAAAGTTCAGAATGAATCATATGGATACAGTAGCCTTTTAACATTTTGAATACTCTGTTAATGTTTTCGCATTTTGTCACCACACACTTTGGTGTATGTTATTGCGGTTTTATGTGACAGCTATCAGGAAGTGATGCTGAATTTAAGTGTAAAGAATATGGACATATCTAACGTGCTGTGTCCATATTTCAATTTTTTTTAGCTTTTTTTTTGTCATTACACTAAAACAATACAGAGCTATGGGTCTTTGCTCAGGGACCCAGAGTGGCAGTCTGTGGGAGTGGGCTCAAACTCAGAACCTCAGAATTCCAAGCTCTATGCCCTAACCCAGGGGTCTGCAACCTTTCATATCCAAAGAGCCGTTTTGCCCAGAGTACGACCAAATAAAAATTGTTTAGAGCCACAAAATATACTGTGATTTTTTTCTAGAAAACCTTCTTTTTTAAAATCTTGTATAGGAAATTAGTTGTTGCCATCTCAAACAATCAATTCATATATTTTTAATGTTAAAACGTATAATTTTCAAGCTAATTCATAGCAAAAAAGGTCTCTTAAAACATCTTATAAAAAACGCTAAAGCTATTGATACCGGTATACATTATAGTAAATTATTTAGCTCTTTATATACATTTTAGCCACTATTAAGAGCCGCTGGAGAGGCTCCAAAGAGCCATAGGTGGCTCTGGAGCCGCAGGTTGCAGACCCCTGCCCTAACCCAAGGGTCGGCAACCCAAACTGCTCAAAGAGCCATACTGGACCAAAAAAACAAAAAGCAAATCTGCCTGGAGCCACAAAAATGTAAAAGTGTTTTATAAGCCTTGTATGGCAACACAGGCTCTAAGTGTATCAGACCACTATAAAAAAAGGACTACGGGGACTTAAATATAAAATTAGCATTAATGATTAAATGTTTATCTTGGAGCAAATGTCATATAGTAGCATGAAGTGAGGGACGAGCAGTGAACGATCTCACCATTGCGCTGCTTCACTGCCCTTTACTGCGCAGTTTCAGTTTTGTTGCATTGAGGAAATTATAAAAAAAACTATAAAGAAATCTTTCAATGGTGGACGTGTTTCTGTTGGGAGGAGTTGATTGAGTTACGAGGAACAGCAGTGCTTTCTAACCCCAAAATCCCACATCCTCCTTCACCAGCAATCCTTGGTGTTATTTTTTATTTTAAAGCTACAGTGTGTAATAATTACAGGGATATACAGTCAGAAATGTAATATATTATACATAACTATGTTATTTATCATCATCTACGAGCTCAGCCTCTTAACCTTAATATTTGCGTTGCCTTAGAATTCGTTATTTTTAATTACATAGGAGTGGGTCTCGCAGCCATGGAGGCAGACATCTTTGCGCTACGGCAGCGCAGAGCCAACAAACTAGTGATTGCGAGATTCGCCAAAATGTCACAACGATGTAGAAAAATAACGGGTATATTTATTATCTTAAGTCTACATGAAATCTATACCTTACACAGACTAATGAAATACTATCTGTAAAATTATCTATGTAAACAAACCTCATCACTTGAGAAGGTAGGTGATGCGGACGTCTTGGAAGACATTTTTGTCCCGTAACACTCGCCGTACTGTTGGGGGGGAGAAGCGATGGGGGGGAGATGTTCATGTTGCTGCAGTCTGACCGCTAGATGTCGCTAAAAGTTACACACTGTAGCTTTAAGGATTTGGGGGGGGGGGAATTTTTTTTAAATTCACATACCTGCAGAAGAGCCCTACCTGTTCAAACTGTGGATGGATTTTTCATGCTTGAAACAAAACTAGCAGCTATAGTAGAGTTTGGAGATTTGCTCTCCTAATTTATCCAGAGGTTCTGCAATCGCATTCTTTCTCTCACTCACAACTTTGTGATCAGCTGCATATTAAGCCTTCCCTGGAAATGCCTTTCCAAATTACTACTTTTAATATTTGACAAATTCTTGTGCCAAAGCAAAAATGCAGCAATCCTTCCGCATTGATAATGAAAGCAAATGATTTCGTCCATTCTCCTTTGGATCCCCTGTTCTCATCAGGCACCTTCCTTTTTTTCCCTTTGGGATCCATGGTCGAAGACACACCCGCCACTTTCTTTGCATGGCACTGCACCGTGCTGAGACATGTGTTGCAGGCTTTGACCAGTGATATCAATGGCTATGACATGTTCGTTGAAATAAATGTTTACATATGTTGTTTAAATTTATTTATTATGCAAATGTTTACAGCATTGGAAAGCATAATGAAAGTCTGTTTGACCTCCTGCACAGCATATTAAAATAACCAAACCAAAAAAATCTAGGGGGGCCCTAAAGAGCCACATGCAGCTCTGGAGCCGTAGGTTGCTGACCCCTGCCCTAACCACTAGGCCGCCACTCCCCATATGTGTTTGAACCCTGTATAACAATCTCTTTATTAAACCATGTTTCAACACAGTTACTGAAATGAATTTAGATTTTATTTTTTTTTGAAAAGCTTTGTAAAACTTTCCCAAAGAAGTCCCCCCCTTTTTTTTTTTTTTTTTTTTTTTTTATACAAAGTAGCTTACACTCAATCAGGTATGGATTTGCACCAAGACTAAGAACTAAGGTAGTTTGTTTTCACTTCGACTGTTTTGGAAGTTAACTATAACTGTAAAAATTGGTTCATAGCTCCCATTGGACAGCAATGATTAGAGTAACAGAGAATTAAAATCACAAAAGGATCACAAAGTCCTCATATATCTATTTTGAATATTTGTGACATTCGTATTATAGCTGCAAAATCATTGTCAGGCGGAGACTTTATTACTTTCAGAATATTTACAGAGCTTTCTCGGGGGCATCGTCCAAAAATTGATATATTTCATGTAACTGGGTCAGATCGAGACCAGTTCATGTTAACATTTGAAGCAAATCACACCAGAGTCTGTTGTATCCAAACTAAAACCACTATTTTAATTAAACATGCACAAGAGGGAAACAGTGCTGTTCAGGTTGAAGCAGACCAAAAGAGTCAGGTGTAAATATTCCCTTAATTCAACATTGAACATAAATATCATTTTCCAATAATTTACACAGAGCCTTAATTTGATTAGGCTGTATGTTTAGAGTTCTCCTGATAAAAGTAGCCTTTTCAATACCTTTAATTCTTTTATATTCTAAGTCAGTTTTTACTCTGTTTATATCAACTTTCCTAAAAGCTTCCCCCCAGCATGCTGGTGTTTGCATGTAGGCCAAACATTTACAGATCTTCTGTCACATGATTACTATCACTAAGAAGGTAATAGTTTGTCCTGTAAATGGAGGTTTGACAGTTCAAGCACAGGATCCTTCCATTATTGGTAACAGTTCAATCAAAAAATAATATCACCTTGGTATCAGTAACGGATTGATGCTATCGTGATGAAATTGATACACAAGTTTCATATTCACTCTTTTATACACTGCTGATAATTTGGTATTAAAGGAAAATGCCAGGGTTCCGCTTGGCCTCAGATGAATATTTCTTAAACTATATATTTTTTTAACTTTTGATTAGTTTGGTAAAACAAAAAAAAAATACAGCTGTGATTAGATGACTTTATTTTGCTTTGGTATTGTACTTTCTCAACTTTCTATCACAAAAATGTATTAAACCAGCAATCCTGGCCAGAACATACCCTTTGACAAAGACCAAGTCTGTTAAGTTAACAATAAACAATCCAATCATCTGTCATTTTTGATGAAATTTCTGTTTTGTCTTATGTTATTGTATGTATTTCTGTTGGTCTACTACAATACAATACTTTTTTTTTTATTATTATTATTTTAGACTTTTAAAATAAAAAAATTAAAAAGGTTTATACTGCAAAGCTAGATATGTCCGTAAGTCTATTAAATTTTTTATCAGTCAAGTTTAATGTATTCTTTTAATGTGTTTCTTCCTTTATCTTTTTCAGGTGCGACGCAAAGTGAAGACTGAAGACAGCCCTCGCCTCAGACCCAGTGACTTGCGAAATTTTATCACCATGTTTGTAGTATTTGTTCTGTTTGCCATTTGCTGGGCTCCACTCAACCTGATAGGTCTAGCGGTGGCGATAGATCCAACTCACGTGGCTCCACACATCCCAGAGTGGCTTTTTGTTGTAAGCTACTTCATGGCCTACTTCAACAGCTGCCTGAATGCCATCATCTATGGTTTGCTCAACAGGAATTTCAGGAACGAGTACAAACGCATCGTCACCTCTGTCTGGGTGACCCGGCTTTTTGTGACAGAGACATCGAGGGGCGCCACCGACGGCAGGAGCATGAGGAGCAAGCAGTCACCACCACCGCCGCTCAACAATAATGAGTCAGTCAGAGATCGTGCTAATAAGGAATAAACTTTGCATTCTTGATCATGGTAATTCCTTTTTTATGTGACATCAAGTAGTTGTGCAGCTAAAGAGTAAAAAGAAAGTAATGAAACTGGAAAACATGGCTTTGTTTTCCAATTTGCAGCATACAGTAGATTTAAACTATAAACACACATTAGTTCAACATCTTTTAAAGTGATCAATATGGGTGTGTTGCTTTTTGTGAGTGATTTTCCTCCACAGCAAAAAGCCAAGTATTGCAGTTTCATTATTTCATTATTACTCTAACAAACTGAATGGTACTTTAAGATAACATTGAGTGATATCCTTTAACTTCTGCTGCTGGAGACTTGTTCCACGATACTGGGTAAGCACCACTAGTAAACATGCACCTCCTTTTAGTAAATTCAAACGCCTCAAATAATTCAACTCGCCTCACCTGTAAGCTGTAAGAGGAGCTTTTCGTGACAGAGGTGATATAATGACAGATAATTAAATTTGTCATTTTGATATCAGTTTTTCATGGTGGCAGTTATGTAGTTAGATTTACACACTAAATGCTGCAGTAGGATACACAAACCTTATACTGCCTCGTTTGATCTTTTTTGCACTAAAAAGAACAGGTAAAACAAGCTTAGTAAAAGAAAATCTTAGTAAATTAATCAAGATGTTCATAAACTTTTTTTTCTAAAGTTAGAAACAGCATCAAGTTACTTACCAGGTGCTATGATTTTTCTTTTTTTAAATCTTTTGTATTTGATGTGGCATGTAGAGGAAACCTTATATTGTTGCTATGTCAGACTAACATGAATAACACGCAGCTTCTAAAGTTAGTTCTAGTATAACGCTCTTTAAAATATAAGGCATCATTTTGTAAAAACAAATCAATAAAAAAAGATTTTAAAACCTGGTTAAACAACTTAAGCACAGCTTTTGAGACTGAAATTAAGAGAGTAATAATTGTCAAGCATTGTAAGTTATATAACAGGTAGGTTAAAGTAGTATTTAAATACCTCCAAATAATAATAAGAAAAGCTAATTTTCTCTTTTGATTTGTGTGGCGTTTACCAATCAGGAACTGGTCGTGATTGTGATGTGGAGTGAAGTAGTGCAGCAGAGACAAAACTTTTTCCACAAAATAATTAGTCACCAACACCACTGACCTACTCAGAAATTCACACCAATGTACATTAAGAGGGTGTCGGAAAAAAATATCTTAATATTTTGGTCAATATTGACAAAAGAGCATTACAAAGTTTCTCTAATTCATTTTGTCACACAATTATTGCTTCTTTCTGAATATTTCATAGTTTTTAGACCATCCTCTTTTAATCTGAAATGTGGTTGTGTGTTTAAATCTCAATGGATTAGGACTCTAGTTTAGTCAAACATACCAACGAGCATGGCACTTAAAAAACTATTCATCCTTAAACTGTTCATCCTTACTCTGTTGCTCGATTTACCTTTACCTGGGAAAACATGCACGAGGAGCCAGAGAAAGACGGAGAATCAGCACTGAGACACTGCACAGGCAGAGTATTTATGGGAGACTGAACAAAGACGGGACTAATGAGCTGATTGGGAGCAGGTGTGAACAGAGGCTCCTAGAAGGAGCTAGGGAAAAGGAGACCGGCAACAGAGGGCAAGCAAAGAAAAACCTAAGAACTCAAATATATCCAGAAAACACCAATAAAGCTAGAAAACAAAGAAAAACTTGAATCAACGTGAAACTGAAAGCTATCAGAAATCTTAACAGAACCAGGATCATAACACAGATTAGATGGAAAATCAGTATAACATCTGTTGTCTGCAGTGAGAACATATAGCCATTAGCCAAATCTTAACTCATGTTCAAAATGCTATACTTTAAAACCATAGCTTTAAATAAATCTGACCTTATAATATTAACAGATTTGATACTTTGACAGTTAGAAGCAACTAAAAATATATTCTTAAAGGAAACTACTGCAATCATTTAAAGCACTTTAATGAGGGATACAAAGATTTTTCCTTAAAGAGGTCTGTGTACTGATGTCAACTTTAAGTACATCTAAATGCAATAATCATATATTTTTTTTGGTTTCACCAAATAGCCAAGTGCAGCTGCACTTGCATGGTCTTTATGCACACCAACACATCACTATGCAACTCAAAAAGCAGTGTTTGACGCAGTTGAAGGAATTCACGGTGGTCGGTGTGATTCATAACAGAGTCCATAAGCTCAGGACAGCTGTACTTCCAGATGTCACAGTATATTACTGATTTATTATGAACAAGATATAAATTATTCTGCTGGTTTTCAGTCTGCATGAAAAAGCGGTTACATTTGTTTTGGTCCACTAAGCTGGGATCTGTTCAGCACCCAACCAACCAAATATCCTATATTATAATAACAGAATATACATTAGACTGGTTTCCTCTGCCTCCTACATCATATGCTGGACAATATGTAGAAGCCTCTTGTAGTTTGAGTTGTTATTCTTAATTCTAATATACTTATGCAAAATTTCAGACTTTCATTTTTAAAGTAATTTATTTACTTTTTTTAAGATTCACGAAAGATATATATATATATTTCCAGGGATGTAGTATTCCAATGCTTTCACTGTGGATTTAAAAATAAGGGTAAAGGTCAGCTATTTATGGAAAAGTGAAGGGAGTAGGTCATTTGTGTATTAGATTTGACAAACGAGTGGCAGTTTTTACCACTTTATTGAAGAGCGATTCATACAACTCGGATTGTGAAGAACATACAGTACAGCTCATATCTGTATTCCCATCTCAGGGTGCCTATTTAACAATGTGTTGTTATTTACACTTGTCCAAACATTTGCAGTTGATAAGCTGCAGTATGAGGGAGTCTGAAGACATTTCAAAGGAATATTTTGTAAATTAGTGTCATTGATGTTTTTAACCGTGTTTTATTGTTATTGGATTGTATTCAAAATGTGTTTTTGATATACTTATATGTATATATATATATATATAAAGCTTCAGTAATCCCGAAAAAATTAACAGTTTATTGTTGGATAATACTTAAACTTTTTTCCCATTAAACTACATTGGCTAAGTGCATCTAAAACATTTATTTTTATGTGTGCCATTCATCACTTATTTAGATTTTTATTACTAAAATGACCTAAAATATATGTTAAAATGTGTTTTCTCATGGTTAGGAATGGCAAAATAACTGGTAACTGGTGCAAACATTTTGCTTGATATTTAAATGCTTCACAGAACATTTTATATGCTTTTAACTAGGGTACAAAAAAATGTGAAAGCTCCCTGCAAGGCAAATGCAGTTCAGATAAAAACAGAAAATTTTCTGATAAACAAACACATTAATATAATCACACCGCTTTTGTTGAAATGACAGGACTACATATACGGCAGAAGCAACAATGGGCCACTTGCATCATAGTTAAATAAAAAAAAATCACTGAAAATGATGCTGCTACTTTACATTGACACATTCAAACAGAGAGAGAATGTTTTAGATGCACTTTGAGGAAGATAGATCGATTTAAACCAAAGAAATGTGTAGATAAAGGGTAAAATGTACATACACAACTTCATGTTGAAGGGAGAAATAAAAAAAAAAAGCTCTTCTCCCTTAATGTGTTTTTTGTTTTGATTTTTTTGTTGTTTTTATATACTGCCTTACAGTTAATAAAAAAGTGTCAAAGTTAAATATGACGGCAAGTGCCATAGTTACCTTTATGATTTAGCAAGCCTGGTTTGCCTCCTTTTGCTTGTTTGTGATGCATTCAAGGCAATTGTCTAATAAAATGTTCTTTCTTCTCTGCAGTTTTGTGCAGAGGCTTATATGCAGAGCTTAGGCATGAGGTGGAATTGATGAACCAGAGGAATATTTATTACCTTTTTTTCTCTGTATTTTCTATCTGTGTGCCGTTTGGGAAAATGATGTAACAATTTGATTTTATGTTTCACTAAAGAATGCTTTCTGTCAGCAACCTTATTTTACTGGCCTTTTATCATTTGTAACACTCAGCGGATCTGCAAGCTGTGTTGGAGACACTGTTACCACATAAAGTAAAGCACAACTTATTTAAATTACAATCTTCCTGCTACATGTTCTAGTGGATAATTGCATTCCAAATGGTAAATCATTTGTTCTTTAATGATGCATTGTTTCATAAGTGCATTCATTCACCTTTTGTTACACATTCCAACCTTAAACTTTTTCGTAAGGCTCTCATAAATCAGACTGAACACAAAGTAGTGCAATACGTGGTGTTTAAAGAGGCGTATCAAGAAGACCATTTTTACAGGAGAGCCATTAAAGTTCCAAGTAACAATTTCAAATGTTAAGAAGAAGGCAGGGAAAAATTGTGATAAAAGCTTTTACATCTCTTACATTAAACAGTGTGATTTATGGTGGCAGGGCATTTATTGCTTCAAGAATGGGTGAAAAAGAGGGAAATGCTGGAATTATAAAAAAATATTCTCAAAATAAAGAATGCCTTGACATTTTAATTTTTAACTGGTCAACAATGGTTATTCCTGAATACTTTATTTTAATATTTCCTCTTCTTCTTTTTTATCCATGATCATAATATAAAAGCTAAATCTAAAATACAAAAGTATAACTCTGCTGTTATATTTTGTCTATATCTGAAAACAATCTCATATTTTCAAATGCATGCACAGTGTGAGAAAACAATAGTAGCCATATGTGATCTTTATTTACTACCAGCCAGAAATTAAAATAACTTTCATACCTAATGTTGGTCAAGTGAAACCAGTAACATTTTTTGTGTGTGTGTGCAAAAAGCAATATAGAACGAAGGTACACACTAGCCTGGCTGGCCAGATTGATGTACAATGTGGGCACAGCATATCATTCTGGAAAGGAACAAAGAAAGCCGGATTTCAAGTAACTATAGATGTGATACAAAAACGTCTTCTATAACAGCAATCAGTTGCTGAAATTTATAGATACAGTATAAACAGTTGAAATTTAAACAATATTAACAACCTAATATTGAGCTTTACTAGAATGAATTTCACTCTGGCTGGCCAGGTTAGAGAGACACACCCGAAAATGATTTTAGCTAAAATTGCTCCAAAAGCATGTTTCTGAAAGATATTGATAGTAAAAACAAATGTCTGCAACACTTTTTGGATTTTGTAAACAAAAATAAAATAC